AAAGGACCTACTACTAGGTTACTGAGGCAGTCTGACCATATATTTGTTTTAAACCCCTAAAATCCCAGGCCAGGCTTGAACATAGCAGCATACTTTTACAGAGGCTCTCAGGAATGTACTTATTCTCAAACATTATTCTTCAGTGAGCATCATCATTCCTTGGTCATAATATCAAGGAAAGATATAATTAGATTTATATTTATGTGCTTTTTGCAACATATAGGGTTATTTTCTGTTTATGCTATTACTGCTTTGGGAGTACAAACAGAACTGATGAACACATTATTATACCTTTATGAGGGCAAGTTATTCGATGTATGAATGCCAGTGACACTTTCAGTACTGTGCTCCTGATACTTATTCTGATCAGAACAGTTTAAATAATACATGAGCTCATGCATATACATATTGGAGCTCAGCTCTTTCATTAAGAGCCTTGCTAAATTCTCTCATCCAGTCCTCCAAAGTGCTTGAATGTTTCCAGGGTGAAAGTCCTTTTATTTGTCACAGGCAGGTTGCAAAATCTTGCTGAGATATCATTTTAAATTTGTTTGGCTGTGCAACCTAGTTTAACAAGGGCAACTTGCAGCCTTTGCTATTCCTCCTGGGAAAAAAGAAGTGAAGCTTATGTGAAGTGTTTTAATGTATGAAAAAGCCATATGAAAAGAAGAGTGGAAAATTGGATTTGGTAATTAAGATTTTGTGTTGGGACTCCAGTGGTCTCAGTTCAATTCCCCAGAGCCTTTATACAAGTTTAAGCAAGTCACATCAATCTTTCTGAGTCTCTGTAATGCAGGGTAACTGTTTCCTCTTTTCTTCTTCCTTTGTCTCATCTATTTGGCTGTAAGCTCTCAGGTACAGGTTCTCTTTGAGTGTGCTTATATAGTGCCTAGCCATACCATGGTTTTGAACATATTCAAAGATTTATGTATTTTTTAATATAAATCAAGTACTAGAAAGGAAAATACTTATGAATTTATATCTGTGGTGCTCCGATGCAAGGTAATAACTTTAAACAAATATGTTGGAGAATGTGTATTTATAGAGAAAGCTCCTGTTCTGTTGGGCAGAAAAGCAAGGTTCCATGTTGAGAGCAGGATGGGGTCTGTGCATTAAACACAGCTGGCACAGAGGAATTAATCCAGCTTTTGTGTCTGTTCTAGGCTCTGTGCAGGCTTTGGAAGCACTGCAAGAGAGAGAGGAGAAATTCTAGATGTTTAGCAACAGAGGACAGAGAGGAACACGTGTAGTGGAAACCTACTGGGGGGAGAAGCTAGTTGATCATGTACTTGTAAAGGAGTGCAGGCTTATGTGGCTCTGTTTTTCAGGAGGGTACCTGTCCTCCTGCAAGGCAGTGTCTGCAATGCTTCCTGCACTGAACCTAAACATATGGCTTTGCATGGGAATGGCTGTAAGGATTTCTCCTTCCTTCCTGCTAAACTGTGCCTGGTATTTCTGCTGAAATGAAAGGGAAGTATCTGAAAGAAACCAAACACTGGCCCTCACCCTGGCCAAATCAGATTACTATAATGAAATAGGATTTTAAATCATGAATCACCAGCACCTATCAGACCCAGGACACTGGGGGCTGCTAACAAAGCACTTCTGTTCCTCACTTGGTGTGAGTACCCAGCTTCTTCAGTTCAAGACAGTCTACGCTTATCATTTCCAGAGATGCTGCTGCTATCTCAGAAGTCCTTCAGGAATCACAGACATACATGGGGGTCATTCACAAAGAGGGAAAACAAAGCCAGGCTGTTTTAATGCGTACTGCAATAACAAGTTTATACTGCTCCTCTGTGTCCACAGAGAGGACAGCAGAGGGTACAATGGGGAGCTGTGTTTGTGATAGTGTCCCTGGTTCATTAGCTGTGATTGCCACGTTAGATACACCTGCATCCCCGTCTAGTCCTGACATCATCTATTAGGGCTAAGTGACCTCCCTGCTGGGAAGCAATCATTAGTCAGCCTGCTCTTAAGAGGCAAATGGTGCTCACCTGGGCCACTCATCAACTTCTAGTGTCTTTTCTCTTGTTCTGCATCGTAAACCACACGTTTCCACAGGAATATGACGTTTCATAGCTAGGGTAGCTTGAGCAGAAATATTGAGTAATGTTGAAATGGATGAATTTCCAGTCTGTTTGCTGTCACTGGTCACCCTGACGGAAGCTGTACAAAATCTAAGCCAATAGGTTAAAACGGGTCTGTCTTGCAGCCTCCTTGCAATTCTCTGGCAGGTCCCTGAGAAGCTCAATTCTTAAGAGCATCAATGGCACCAAAATTTTCATTAGAAAGTATCCTGCATCCCATCCCTCTTCAGGATCCTGCCATGCTGACATGCCCCAGGATTAAAATGCAATCCTGTAACCCACTGTAACAAGGGGGACTGTGAAACAGAAAATCTTAACGCTTGAAATAATCCAGTATCTGGCCACTAACAGAGTCCAGTGGGTTTAGTACAGGACACGTTCCTTTGTGTCATTAGATTTCTCTTATTGTTATCATGCATGTCTTGAGACCAAACCCTAGCCCAGTATAACCTCCTTTGAGGTAGTTGTACAGAGCAGTAAGATTTCCCCTGATCCTAGTTTTCTCTAGGCTAAATAACCCCAGTTCCCTCAAACCCTCCCCATAAGACTCGTTCCCTAGACCTTTCTCTGGACATGCTTAAGCACCAAAGGGACAATCACTTCCCTGGTCCTGCTGACCATGCTATTTCTGATACAAGCCAGGATGCTGTTGGCTTTTTGGCCACCTGAGCACACTGCCAGCTCATGTTCAGTCAACTATCAACCAATACCCCCAGGTCCTTTTCCACCAGGCAGCTTCCCAGCCACTCTTCCCCCAGCCTGTAAGTGTTGCATGGGGTTGTGGTGCCCCAAGTGCTGGAGTCAGCACTTGGCTTTGTTGAACCTCACGCAGTTGGCCTCAGCCCATGGGTCCAGCATATCCAGATCCCTCTGTAGACCCTTGAGAGCTACCCCCAAGAAGATCAACACTTCCACCCAACTTGGTGTCATCTGCAAACTTACTGAGGAGGCACTCAGTCCTCTCATCCAAATCACTGAGAAACGTATTAAATGATATACTGACCCCTGGGAGACATGGCTTGTGACCAGCTGCTAACTGCATTTAGTTCCATTCACCACAACTCCTTGGGCTCTGCCACCCAGCCATTTTTTTACCCAGCAAAGCGTATGCCTGTCAAAGCCATGAGCAGTTAGTTACTCCAGGGGAATAATGTAGGAAATGGTGTCAATTGCTTTACTAAAGCCTAGGTAGACAACATCCACAAATGATTTGCCCTTGTTGGCTGCAGGTCTGATTGTGGTGGTATTGAAGTTGATGGCAAAGTTTCAATGACTTCAGTGAGAAAAGCCCCTAAAAGAGTACCTGTCTCATATATTTTTATAACTAATTATAATGTGGTTGACCTGGACGATCACTGTGGTCCATTTTCTATCTACTGTCCTACCTTCCACTCTTACCCTCCATTTATATATAAATAGTGTTCAGGAAGCTTCTTACAGCTGATGTAAGGTAAGAGAGGCTCTGCCATCCAGTCTGCAGTTGCCACATGCCATCCTCTCCAAGCTTTTTATGTTATAAACATTTCTTTTTAATACCTCAAAGAGAAATACTCTAGTAATTATAGCAGCAATTTCCTTCCTTCGCTTTACTGTTTCTTCTCTCCTGCACAGATTATTTCATTTAAGCTGATATCCTGAGCAATTATAGTACAACATCATTTGAGACGTAATCACCTCTGGCTAACCTCTTCAGGATCCCTTGGATATAAATGTGTTGATGTCTAAGCATCCCAGAGAGAACATTTCAGCGAGAAAAACTGATATGAAATCTAATATTTCCCAGGAAACTTGGTCAGGATTAAAACACAACAAGAACTCTATGTTAGAGTGAGGCAAGGAATATCAGGAAAAGATATTGCATTGATTTTATGGGCAGAAAAAATAACTATGATAGTCTATTCCCATTGCCTGCAAAACACAAGCCAAGAGCTTGCCTGCAGCCAGTGCTACTGCCTGTAATGGGCCACATCCAAAACCCTGTGAAGTCACTGGAAAAAATGCTCTTGGCTTTAGTGAGAGCTTTGGATCAGGGTCAGTGTGAACAGAAGCCCAGCAGTGCAGCACAGCTGTGGGGAAATCCCTGGCTCACATGGAGCAGGGATGATCTGCCAGTAAATGGGGAGTATCCGTGGCTTCCTGGAGGCAGGACAGGACCTCTTCCAGCATTTCTTCCCTGGCTCTGTCACTGTCCTCACTGGGGTAGGAAGGAAACTCAGGGAAAATAACCAGGGAGGAACTACCGCTTCCTGCCTCCCCACTCTGACTGCAGCTGCTGCCTAGGGCTGCTCTCAGCAGCACTTGCTGTTGCTGAATACCTCAGCAGTGAAACTTCTCTTTTCTGTGCTGTAGATACACATAGCTAGCTGGAGTCTGGTCTGCTCATCTAACCTTCTGGTAAAACAAAACAAAACAAACAAACAACAACAACAACAAGCAATGATGACAACAAAAAAGCAAATAAACAAACAAAAAGCAGAACTAGTTATTCTTTGAATTAGGAATAGCTTAAAAGCTGATGAGAAATTTGAAAGGTGTTTGCTGGGGATGTATGGGTCATTTGAGAAAAAAAAAAAAAAGTATCAATTTGCTACATCAGGAATGTATTAGATCTATCTGACTAGTCTTGGGGAAAAATGCAAACAATCTAAACTAGAAAGAATCCTCAGAAATGCTCCTCTGGGGCTCCTTTGGGGCTTCGCAGAGCAATAATTTAGAAATACTGCATTTTGTGACAAAATTGCGGTTAGCATTTTAGCTGTGGCAAAACTCAGCATAAATGTATAATCAATGTTTCTCACGCTTTTAAAGAAAGGAGAAGCACATTGTGAAGGGGGTGATACAACAGAATAATTCCCACTGGTGATATAAAACCTCACTTTCCTGCCGTTACAGCTGCCCTGATAAGCATGCTCTGCAGCAAAACTCTTTGCAGAAGCAGGGAAGGTGAATGGAAGCCTGCAGACTCTGGTATTTTGCATAGAAATATTCTTTTTCCAGACCACAGTTCAATTCCTTTCCAGGTGACTAATAACTTAAAAGTGCTAATTACGGTGCAGGGGTTAGTAATGTATACCAAACAGCTGTGTCCCTCTGCTGTTCCTGATGAACAAAGTCATCAAAACAGGTCGCCAACTGACCCCTGCAGCAGCCACGGAGAGAGGGAGGTAAGAGTGCTCACTTCTCAGGGGATGCTCACTCCAAGGAAGAATTACTGCTGATTCGCAGCAATGTGCACACTTCTTCCGGTGCTTGCCATCTGCATCTTTTTTAAGCCTCACTTATAAATAAGCTAAATAGTTTCCTCTTTGCCTTCCCCTTGAGCTTCCTTATAGCTAAGGGAGTGATATTTATGTTGTTTTTTTTTTCCTTTTAAGTTACGATCTTTTGCCATAAGACTCCTAAGCAAGTTGGCAGAGATGGGTAGAACTTAAATTTTGGGTTCCCACTGTTGAGTACACCGCACATCTGAAAAACTCCATCCGTGGGCAGCAGGTAGGTGCTTGAACATGGCTGTCTAACACCAGTTTAAATGTCCATTGCACCCTGACATGCCTGTGTCACCCCTGGCTGTCCTGCAACAGACCCACCCCTCACCTGGAAAGGCAAATAGAGGGCAACCAGGTGAAAGACCCCAACAGCCTGAAAGCGTTCAGCTGCTAAGGGGCTTTGATGGGATGGGGCAGGGCAGCAAAGGAAGGTGAGAGCTAGCTCTGAAAAACTGGTGCCAGGCTGTAGTGCCATAACACACCAGGTGGGTCCATACACCCTGCTCTGCAGCCAGCACAGCTGCACTGGCAGAGTGGCTTTTCGATGTAGCTGTTTTGTTCCTGATAACTCCATTAGTCCAGGGCTAACTATGTTATCCTTGAAAAACACTTCATTGCACCATGCAGATGCTCCCCGAGGAACTGTTCTAAAGCCTTTGATAAAACAGGAGGTGAAAAATTGTGAATTGGAGCTCAGAGCAGAAAGCTCCAAGAAGCAGCACTGGAAAGCACGTAGTGTTGCTTAGGACTCAGAGGCAAGTGGAATATTTAGTTAAAATCTTTATCATGTAGGCTGATTTACACCAGTAGGGAATCCAACCTTTGGCTTTCATCACCCTCCTGTAACATTAAGGTGAGCATGTGCCAGGGAGGGAGGGACAGGGCGGGATGTGTATACATCTAATTCTTCAGTAAGCTGAGGGGAGGAAATACAGATTTTATATAGCTACTTTTTCCACTGATATGAACCCTCTTGAAGCAGTAAGAGAAAAAGCAGCTCCTGGGCAGGAGTAGTGCCTGCAGCTCCTGGGCAGGAGTAGTGCCTGCTGCTGTGGAGCACTGCTCTACACTGGTGTTCAGGGGGAGGTTTGCTTCTGTCCAATTGCTTTTGAGTGAACATCAGCAGGGGGTTATTAGTGGCATCCCTATCATGTTTCTAATAGTCTTGTTAACACGCAGGAAATCAATGCTAGGAAAAGTGAAGGAGCATGCAGATAGAAGTCAGTGAACTATGCTTTGAGGCCCATCCAGACTTTCTCAATAATAATTGCTCTCCTCCAGGGATCCCAGCTCTTTGTTTGGCCTCACCAAGACTGAGCCAATAAGTGTCACTGCCTAAGCTCTTTGCCTCTTCCGTAATTATTTGTAGGCAAAATGCCAATGCTTCAGCAGCATGGGCCATGCAATGTTTATCTCAGGAGCAGCATTGCAATGCAGAAGTAAAGAACTGAAGGTCTTTAAGAGAATTATTAGAAAATCAATGAGGAAAAAGGTCCCAGCGGGAAGAGAATTAAACTCACATTTCAGAAATCTTTTTAAACTTTCTGCATTGCAAGCTTCCTCTGAGTCTCTTGGTCCAACCATTTCACTTCTGCTTCCATGTTGTTAAGTGTGGATACTAGTCCTCAACAACACAGAAATGCTGTGAGATACTCAGATGTTAAGGGCTACAAGCCAAGAGAGCTTGTTGATGGGTGTTGTTTCTCTCTCCACCATCTCAGTTCCTTTGGCCTTGCTCACACAGAGGCTCCCTCACCTGATTTTAGTATGGGAGGTTTAGAAAGATGCTGTGGCCTCTACGAAGAAGAATTCCTCCTGCTTTGTCCCCGGAGAGTCAGTCTACAACATGTCCAATGCTGTGTTTCACAAGATAGACCTGTTGTACAGGACAGACAAGACACAGCATCATTTTGGTGAATTGTGGAGACCTTCTGCAAGTGCACTCAGGACAAAAATATTAAGTACCATTCTATTTCTCCAGTATTCTTTTGGATCAGGCACACATGATCAGGTGTCTGCATTTTCTGAATATAAAAAGTACCCTGAAATAGCCTGGGGCAGCACTGTGAAACCCCAGAGGAGTTAGGCAGAGCCCCCAGTGTCAGCACCAAGAAAGGAAGAACTAAGGAAGGACAGAACACAGGTACAGGTGTAGTGAGTGCATTGGTGTGTATATTACTCCTCTCCTAGTTTCCTTCCCTCACTTCTGTCTCATGGAACAACCCCTTCATCTTTTATGCTGAAGAAAAGGAAATGTAACACTGTTGATCAGCATTGCTTCTGCCATTGTAATAAAATGAAATGAGATCCAATGTACTCAGCTGTTACCTGAGCAAGTCATACTTAGTGACCTTCACTGCAGCTATTAACGTGCAAAACCATCTTCCAGCTGTAAAAGCTATCCTTCATTTCTGAAGTGAGAACAAGGAAAGAAAAAAAAAAGAATGAAAGAATTTTACACCTGTGAACACTTTTTTCTTTTTTCTTTTCTTCTTCTAGCAGTGAATATTTAATGTCAGTTGTTAGTATTCCCTAGTTTGTTACATGTTCCCATAGGATAAAGACACTCTTACTGTTTGCACATGCCATCTTAGTGTCCAAATAACTTACACCAGACCCTTGAAATCTCTCTGCATTTTGTATTTTTGGTCAGAACTAATGTTTCTCTAACAATTACAAATCATTCATGATGTATCAGTCCACCAGGTGGGATATGCCCTGTGCTCACTCTTAACAGATTGTTCTGTGGCATGAGCGTACAGAGGGATGAACAGCGCTTGGGCCAGTGGGAGAAGCTGAATGGAGGCTCTGCTCACTACCCAGCACTGTCATTTTCCTAGGGAGATGTTCATGAGGCTTCCTCAGCATTTCATGAAATTTTCATTCGAAGCACACAAGGCTCCCTGACAGAAGGAGCTCTGGTGAATCTTGCAGAGGTGGTTTCAGCCCTTACAGCCTCCTGCCATGTGCTCCTTCTGTCCGTGAGACTTGTCATCCTTGTAGCTGAATAAAAGAGGTTCCTGAACCTCAGCTGGTGCTGCTCAGAGTTTGACATATTACCTTATGCTACCAATGAAGGTGATGTGCAGGGCTGGGGGAGAGAAGCGGGGTGGAGTTGTGCCATGAGCACACCCTGACTCTGCCACGGCGCTCTGAGTCAAAGGGAAGGGAAGGGGCTCCTCCACCCTGGAGTGTACACATAAATTGCTGCTTAGTCAGAACAGCAAGGACACTGATGGGATTATTGGGTTGTTTTAATTATTATTACTTTTAACCCCCCACTTTGCTATGTGTCAAGAGAGCCTTTAAAAATAGCAGAGCTTCGAGATCTCATGAATCCTTGATAAACTCAATGGATAATATTTCAATAATTTCCTCCACAGTCAGAAACAAAATTTTCATTTTCAAAACAGGCTTGGATGGCTCAGGTACCTCAGGCGTCATGTCCATGATCCACTGCAGACAACCACCATTTGCTGTCCAACCCAGGCAACGTGTGTGCATGTCCATTTCTTTGAAGTCAGCCTCTCTGTGGTGCTGTTTAGAAGCTGGCAAGACCTCTTGGGTGCACCTGTGCATCCAAATGAAAGTCATTTGCTGAATCTGCACTGCACTGACTAAAGCTGTGTTGTCTAAATTTAATGTGGATGGCTTAAGAGGAGCAGCATCTTATGCAGCTGTCCCTGCCTTGTAGGACAAGCCTTCTAGGAGGGAAAGGTGAGAGCGAGAACCATTTCGGGTGTCTGATCCTCATCTGCCACACAACATGGTGACTCAGATGGACCAACAGAAGTGACTCCTGGAGGGACAGATGATAAGATGATTACTACATGTGGTTTTGTCCCCTGAGACAGAGAGATGTTTAAACACCTAAGTAATAACTCCTGAGCCACCACAGGTCACAGTGATGTTTCAAGAAAATCAAAGTCACTGATGGTTTCTGATAGATAACCTGGCTAGAAGAGCTAAACAGAATCCAGTGAGGTTAATCACAGATTAATTCCCTTAAGCTGGCTGTCTTGGGCACTAGTGACAGCAAACTGTGAGCCTGTCGCTGCCAGCACTGGGCTGCACGCATGTATACCTGGCCATCGCTGTGAGAAATGTCAAAACCACATAGATGTGAAATGGAAAAGCTATTTAAGTTCTAACCAATTTCTTACAGAATTATGCCAAAAGTTAATGTGTCAAGTTTATAAAATCAGATTAAAAGCATCCATATTGTGCTTTGTTCCTGCTTAAGTATGTCGGTAACTGCTCTGGGAAAGCAATGCAGTGTTGAATATCTTTCTGTAGTAATTACAAATGAGTTTGAAAATGTAGAGGGGGAGATGAAATACTAAAGGCCAAATCTAATAAAGAATTACAGTGCTGCAACACCTACCTTGCAGTCATCTGGTGCCCATATGGGATTCAGAACACTGTTAGACACCTAGTCACCATTTAGAGGAGCCTACGTATATGGGACAGGCTGATCTTCTCAAAACAGGAGCCAAAATAGCCAACTTCCTGAGAGAGAAACTGCCTGAAATCTGTGCATTTGGATGTCTCTGATTTGATCTATCTGGTTAACACTATGAGCAAGGACACATGCGAGACTGTACACCTTGGCCATCTGACTCAGGCTGTCAGAGGATATTCAGCCATGCACTTCTCTACCTGGGTATCCCACCACATTCCCACTTCCTGGTTGGGCCCCCCAGATCTTTTGAAATATCAGAGGCAGAGAAGGCCTTTGTTGCCTCTTCATAACACTTTAGTGGCCTGACTACATATTCAGGAAGATACCAGTTTAATCTCCCTTCCCCTTCCTTCCCATACTGAAGCTGTTCCCCTGCATCAGAAATAACTTGAAAGCAGGAAAATCAGTAGGAAGGACTTCAGTCCTGCAACGTGCTGCCTGGCAGTAGTGTGAGGGGAATATCAATGCACGCTGTGTATGAACAGGGACCTACTTCAGTGCTTCTTAACTGCAGCGATATGGACACGGTCTCCTTGCAAACAATTTCTGAAATTGCTCCTGCACAGTGACACAATAGTAACAGAGCTGTGGGGATCCCCCTCTTCAGACCACCCAGTGATAGTTTAGCTGCTCCTACAGGATGGCAGGCACATTTGGATGTTCTTTCATAGGTGCAGGAACTAAATCTGGCTGTCAATAGTTGGGTCCTTTAATGACTGCCTAAAAATAGCCCACTAACTTCATTAATGTTTTAAAAATTCAGGATACTTAGACCTTCTTAAGAACAGATATGATCCAACATTTGGTTTTATTCTGGAAAGCCCAACAGGAAAACCCCAGGGAAGGGGAGAGGTCCAATAGAGGGACTGGGGTGTCCTGGTGCCTGTCCAAGTTTGCTTACGAGGAGCTGAAAGCACTGTGTGTGTGTGTGTAAGCTTTTTCAGGGTTACAGTTCTGTCTCCCTTGCTTTATTGTTGCTTCCATTCTACTTTGAATCTGACCTTGTACAGTTTATTTAGGTACACAAATAGAGCCTGTGACAGAACAAAGAACTGAAGCCGGTCTCCCAAGTCTTGATGTATCTTTGGATGTCTTTCCCTTCTGCTGATTTCTCCTTAGCTTTGCTCACTTCTTGCTTGAGTGAAGCTTCTCTTGATGTTTAAACTCCTGGCCATATACTAATTGGAGATCTGGAGACAGAAAACCAGCCACTATTCCCTACAAGGAAAGCTGATTTAAGGGAAATATTTCCGCAAAAGAAGTTAGATGCTTTTGTTGGTGTTTTTCTCTTCTAATGCCATAAATACTACAATCAGGCACACAGGATAGTGGCTGCCAGTTTTTCAGGATGATAAAAGCAGGATCAGCACCTTAAAACAAAGACGTTTAACTAAAATAAAATTTTCTGTGGGATGTTGCTAAACAGGTGAACACCTGGAGTCTCATCTAGCAAGTTCACTCATCACTGAGACAGTGCCCAGCATTAGCAGTGGGTAGAATATTCCTGGCCATATGCACAATATCAGCATTACAAAGGTCTTGGAGACAAATACAGCTTGAAAAGACAATCCTTAGGGCTTTCTAGAAGGGAAACTGATTGAGCCAGATGGGGAGTATTTAGCCACAGCAGGCCAGATTCTCAGATAATGTAAATCAGCTTCACTCCACAGATGATATACAGCAGCTGGAACCTGTAGCTTCAAAGGATTGAGCTGAAGTCTCCTGCGCAACCAAGTCTACATAGATTTTTACCAGTAAAATTAACAAGGCTCATTTGGGGGGAGGTGAGTAACAGTTAATTTAACAGAAATTGCTGATACTTAACCAGCAATTTCTCTAGTTACAGGCTTTTTTCTTAGTAACTTAGACTGTTTTTTTTTTTATTTCTTCTGAACCTCACAACACAATCAATACAGAAAAAACACATCTGAATGGTCTTGGATGGTAGCAAGCCATAAAAGCTTTCTGAGGCTGTTAAAATGAAAATCTTCCCTCCTAAGTGGAAGGGAGTTTTAAGGACAAGACAGCAGCTGCTTTGAAACGTCTGTGAATTTTTTCCTTGCAATTAGTAGCAAACAATAAATGCCTCTATCCTGAGCACTGATGGCATTTCCTCCGTGTTGGCAGCTTTTGTCTTTTCTAAACGATAATAACTGTGTGTGTTTGCTTCTGTTTAGTAGGCAATGTATATCCCTGTAAAGCATGCTCGTTCTGCGAACTAGCTGTAGGGGTGTTGTTCTGAGAAACTGTTTCAAACCTGGGCCTCTGTAATAAGTACTTCGCTGATCCATCATATAACCCTAATAGTGCTGTTATATTGAGCTTATGTGAGATTGGGAAATAACGAAACCTCTTACTTGCCCAGCTGCTCAGCAGTCCCCCATGCCTGGCACAGATTTTTACTACAACCAGGAGCAAGAGTTTGCTTTGTGAGAGTGAAGTAGAGGAGACAGAATCAACATTTGATTGTCTGCTTTCAATTATTTGTTGCTGTGTAAATGGTTTGGATTTTTCTCATATATATATATATATGTGTGTATATATATATATATATATATATATATAATATTGACTCAACTGTCGGCCTTCAGGTAGCATTTGAAAGAAAAATAACCAGTGAATTGGTTTGTGCTCCCCTTTTCAGGGGGTTATAAGACATTAGTTGGCAACTTAGAAAGCAGAAGCATGTTCCAAGCTCTGCTATAGGCTTGGTGTTTAGGCCTCTCTGTCTAGCTGATAATGTTGTCAGCCAATATCCTTCTTTCACTGAGCAGAGCACTGTAATTGTTTCAATAGCCTCAGCTCTGAGCTGCAGCTGGCACGTGTTTATAATCCACCCAGTTCTGAGCAGGGCAACATGTGTTGGTGAACACCTGATTGTTTTCAAATGTGCCTGCTTTGTTTCTGGGGTAGGAGGCCAGTTCAGAGGAGTTTGTTAGCTGATTTGTTCTCTGAGAATTGCTTCTGTCTCTTACAGGTGGTGAAGGACTCCTAGGAAGGTAAAAACAGACCTTTCATCTTTAAGGTTTTTTTGTTGTTGTTTGTTTGTTTTTAAATCTAAATTTTGTTGTCCTTGTTGTTTATTTTTTTTTCTTGTGTTTTCTTCTCATTGAGGAAATACTTGCTTTTGGAAAAATAGATTGTTAGAGCTAGAGATATCCTAGGCCAGGCTCTTGAAATGTGTTCTATGCAAAACCAGAGAGGTTCTGCAGCTTCTCCTTTAGTGATTGTACTCCTTATAGAATAAGGTCAAGAAGAGTTTCCACTTCAAAACTAGGCTACTGGGTGTCCATTTTCAGGGTCTGCTGCGTGCTTCTGCTGCAGGAGATGATGGCAAGTCTATGGCTAGTAGAGATTCCTGCTCTTCCAGTTAGAAATGGGGCCCTTCTTGTGCATTCAAATATGTGGGTCAGCTGCCCAAAATCATGAGACAATGTTATATCTGATGCTGTATTTTTGTGGTGGTTGGGTCATGTGTTCAAGTTTTACTGCTTATCCTGAGGATTAGAGCTCTTCTGGAGGGTGAAGTTTTTGTTTGATTCCAGGATTTGGGCTTAAAACCATCAAGTAGCGAGGGACTAACAGTAAAATCATCAGGCTACAACTTCGGACTTGAAGGAGAAATATGATTTTTTTTAAGAGCGTGTAAAAGCTACAAAGGTCACTTATTCAATTTAAGCATTTTTTTTATTTTTTTTTTATACCTAGGCTCTCAGCTAGGAAACTGGAAGAAAGCAGGAAAGATAAAAAATATTTTAGAGGTGGTCTGAAAATAAACAGTTTGTGATGAAAAACATCCTTCTGAAGCATTTAGATAAAGATAAAAATACTGATGGATCAAGGTGGTTTTTTTTTTTAAGATAAAAATACTGATGGATCAAGGTGGTTTTTTTTAAAAAAACAAAAACAAAAAACCTTGAGGACAGAATGAGATGCAAAGCACCACAGTTTGCAAAGAACAGAGTTCAGTGCTGAAGCAAATGATGTTTTTTCACAAATTAGATTCACTTTTTTTTTTTTTTTTAATGATATGTTACAAAACAGACACAGAACAGTGTGGGGATGGAGGAAATCTGTCCCTTTAAATCTTTGCATCAGGGGTGATCTTTTAAAAAGGTATGGTTCAGCTCAAGCAGAGGTTTAGGCAAAGACTACGCATGAAACTCTTCACACTGTTATGCTGAAAATCAGACTGAACAATTGTAATGGCCTTTTGGTTTTAATGTCTATTATCTTCCTTCTGTCTACTTGTAATGTTATGTGCACCAGATTTTTCTCCTCATCTTGGGTAAACTAATTCAAAGGAAGAGGGTTAAGTTTCCTCTAGTCACAGCCTGTGAACTGCTTCGTGGTTTTAGTGAAAACTCTTTCATCAAATTATGACTTGTCCATACAAGACACAGATGTTGTGAACATGTGAATGGCTCACACAGGAGAGGAGTGTGAATTAACTGTATGTTTCCATGCACATAGTTGTGGTATGGCACTCTGTTTTCTTTTTCTTTTCTGTAATCTGAACTTTCAGTTTCCAGGCTTTTTAAATGTTTTTGTTTTGTTTTGTTTTTTTAAGACTAGTGCTGTCTTAAGACTTTTCCCCTTCTCTGATAATCAGCTGTTTGCAAACTTAACTCTATTTTAATGGAACTCTTTTTTGCCTGACAATTTTCTATGGGCTTTGTCAACTAGCCTTTCTTCTACAGCACCAGCATAATTTAGTGTAGATGTAGGGAAAGGGACTACTCTTTCAGGTTTCCATAGTGACAACCAGCCTAGCAAGTGGGGCAAATTCAGCTCTCCGTTATACTGGTGCAACCCCTGCTACTTGCACATCTGGTTTTTGGGCTCACTCTGCAGTTCAGAAAGAAACATACCTCCTGAGCTGATAAACCTTTTCTAGTTGTCAAGTTTATTCATAAAATAAATAGGGAAGTTTTGTCTGTTTTTTTGCTTGTTTGCTTGGTCTTGCTGTTCCTGGGAGAGCTAAGTGTCTCATTCATCTGCATGCTGTGTGAGATATACCTTGTCTTATAAAAATGTGCTTGTTTCACTGTTCATTTATTATAAGAAATAACAGTGCTCACGTGCCAGTTTTCTTCTATTTGAACCTAATTTCGTGAATCCCTGCAGAAAGCTAAATATTCCTATTCAATTTGCACTTAGGAAGCATCTTGCTGCATTTATAAATACTTCAGTCTCTTTTCCATAATAGCACAAAGATTCTACTTCTGGAATTAAAACTTGTCCTATCATTTTATATTCTACAAAACTTTGAGTATTCTCTCTCTCCTCAGTTCCTATCTTTTTTTCCTAACTTAGCAGTAGGCCACTACCTGGACTTATTTTCTGGGGGATCTTATACAAGGCTATCAACCCACAGTGCAAATACCTATAGAGAGGTTTGTTTTTTTTTTCCTGAGGTGCTATACAATTCTTTAATGTGCTTCATAAATCCACTGAATGGCTGTGGCTTTTCAATCTGCTGGTTCATCAGCTTGTCATTTTAGAAGATCCAGAAGAGAAAGACTAGGTACTTAGGCGGGTTTGGAGGCATTCAAGGTGGAGAGAGGGCAAAGTTTCCATGGGCAATGTCAGGGAGAGGTCAAAAAAGGAATTTCTTAGCCCTCAGATTTATTTATTTATTGTTCTAGATCCTTTCTTTGCCGGCTAGCATTGACTTTCATCAGCATGGAAGAAATGTAGGCTGTAAGATGAGGCAGTAAGTGCAATTATGCAATTTCCATCCTCCCAGGTGGTTCAGTAAAATACTTCTGTGAAAACCAGGGAAACAAGTATCTTGCCTCAACATATAAGTCTGATATGCCACATTCCACGAAGAAATTTCACTCACGTTTTTTATCCTTTTTTTCTACCTTTCCTGCATGCTGGGATCTGCTCCTGTTCTCATGGTGTATGTAACACTCTCCACTTCAGTAGCAGGTCTTGTAAGTATAATAGATTAAAATCAGATCCTTGTAAGGAACCACTGATGACTTTTGCATTGTCCTGTTCTAAAAAAGGTGCATGATTACTGAAGAACCATTGCAAAACTTGTTGTCTACTTTATTTGAAACTCCTGCTGTTGAGTTGCATCAATGTAACTGAAAGCCTGTTGAGAACAAATCAACTGCTGTGCTGAAAACCCTTGTGTTTTCATTGTGAAAACCATTGTGTTGTATTGTAAGTCCTGCGACATTAGTGTTTTCTCTATGTTTTCAGCTCCTAGAGTTAGGTGATTTTAAAACACTTTTTCTGAATGTGTGTGTATGTATATGTCTGCTTGCTTTTCCGTACTGGTAGAGAAAAATATGAAAATAATTTGATTGCTTTCTAAAGTTTTAGAAA